TTAATATATTTTAAAATCTTTATAAAATATTACCTTACGTAATAGTAATAATAACCTTTAGGATTGCTGGAAAGAATATAACTTGTGAAATAAAGTGTTTTTGTACTATTTGATTAAAAAACTAATAAAAAGCATGTATGTGTATGTTTAATAGAAAGTTATAAATAATTATAATTGTAATCATTATTATTATCTATTATTATTATTATCTATTATTATTATTATTATTATTATTATTATTATATCTTCTCATTAGCGAAAAATATTCATATATAAAAATCATTCATCTCTCGTTATCTTTTACTTTTATGAAAAATATTAAATATTATACAGTGAAGGTGAAATAATAGATTCAAAATTTTGTTGGGGCTAACTATATATAGAAAATGGAATATTCAATTAAAAAATAAAGTTTATCTTTAACATTTAGCTTGTGAATTCGTTTATGACAAAATGACTTGGGTTGAAGTCATTTATATTCAATTTCTTAAATCTAAATATCAAAAAAATGTGTTCATTAAATCATCATTTGACATGGTATTAAGGATACATATGATATTGTTCTTGAAAATACTTTTTGAATATTGGGTAACGGTGATTCTATTAATTTTTAGAATGATTGATGGTGTTTTAACATTTACATATCTAGATTGGTTAGAATTCCATATTTTGACAGAATAAGGTTATAATATGTTGTTAGCTTGGATTGGACATGTACTCATTATCAAAGCTAATTTTGGTGGCGATAAATATTTAGTGCAAAAATACAACAACATTATTGTCTTAAGGGTGACATTGTTGCTTCTTAAGATTTGGTTCCTATGATTCAATATATTCCTGTGGTGTAGTTTGTGATGAAGATTGTAGTGCAACCTTGGGTCAAGTTTGTGGTGGAGCCTATGGTACAACCACTAGTGCAACCTCAGGTTCAGTCTGTGATTGAGTATGTGGTAGAGCTTATAGTGCAGCCGTCAGTGTAGCTTGAGGTTCAGCCCGTGCTACAGTCGCTGATGCAACTTGAGGTTCCATTTATGGTGAAACATATGGTATAGTATTTTGTGGTGCAACTATAATTGATCTAGTCACCAATACAACCTATTATGGTTAAGTCTGTTGTGGTGTCGCTTGTTACTCAGTTACAACTTGTTATTATGGATCAACCTAATAATATTGTGTTGTGAATGGATCATTTTCTATTAATAATTTAGATGTTTTTAATGGAAGTGAACCATGGATTTTGATTCCTTAATTGATATGCATTCTCTAAAATATGTCTATTTCAATATAATTAATTTGTAGGGCTTAAAACAACTTAATTCACATCATAGTAATTTTGAAACAATTCCTAATTATTTCATGACTAAGGAAGCTCGTCTCGTGGAGAAATTCAAATTAGCTTTTATATTGATTGATATAGTTCATAAGAGGGAGATTCTAATAGTGAAACAGATGAGGGGATAATTCAAACTATAGAAAATCCTACAAGGGTAGATCACAAATTAAAATTAATATTAAATCTTTCAAAGCACAAACTTCTAATAAGCACTAATGTGTTTTAATAAATTGTGATTTCTAGGTAGAAGTTTTACATATTTGGTACTATTGATCAGTTTATTTCATTTGTTGTCATGGTGAATGATTACACTCTACTTGTGATTATGGTGCTACTAATGAGTGAATGTAGAGTTCAAAATTTCTCATGTTCTTTGTGAAAGAAATCATTACGAGGATAAGTTAAGTCATCTTGACTTTCATTCATTAGGAATAGTATAAGTGATTTCCAAGTATTTATTTAGAATAATTTTAATAATTTCTTATTGATAAGGGCTTGATATTAGTGAATTTCAATGCTTAATTAGCACTTATCTTGTTTTGATTATACATAAAAATTTTACTTATTTTGCAAAAACACATGAATGCAAGGAGTTAAATCTGCATTTTGATGAAAAGAAGAAGATTTGCATTTATTTTGGAAGAATCTGACTTGCCACGATTGGAGCGCCACCTGAGGGCTTGAGCCAACCACCAAGGAAGGTTTTCTTAAGCCATCAACTAAGGCTTGAGTCATGGGAGAGTTCTTCATTATTAAACAACCTCAAGTAGCTCAAGTCCAGATCTTCATAGCTTGAGCCACAAAGGAAACCTACCAAGGGAGGAAACCTCAACGCTGGAGCCCTAAGCCACTGCTTGAGTTGTGCTGCGAAAGTCCATAAATACAAGCACATTGGACATATTTTGAAGAGAAGTAGAAAGATCCAAAAGAGAGAACTAGACTTCGGTCTCAGCCCTCTCAAGGTGATTTTAGAGAGAGACTCTAATAAGTCTCTCACATAGTCCTTATACTTCAAAGATACATCCTTAAAGGATTAGGAGATATTTTCCTCCTTGCCTGTAATTCTTTTTATCTTCATGAGGAGCTAAATCTTAATGTGTTGAAACATGATGTAACGAATTCAAACTCTCTTGTATTTGGTGACACTTTCATTTATGCAGTTTTAATTTGATTTAAAGTGGTTAGTTGATTTGTGCTTGATCTTGGGATGAACTAATCACTTATCTTGCTTAACTGGCTTAAGGCGTAAAGACATCTAGTCTTGAGTTGTGGTCCAATAAGTTTTCCTGTGTGTTTCTGAATGAAATAGGCCAGAGATGTGTTGGAATAAAATATTATTCGTAATGCAAGTGGGTCATACGCAGTCACTGATAGGTTTCATAATAGGTAGTAGGCAAGATACTAGTCTTCAGGTACCGGGATAAGCTTGGAGTACCATAAAGAGCACTCCCATGACTTGATCACGTGAAGTTGCATTCTTGAAGGAAGATCTAATGCAAGAGAGGATGGATCTGTGAAATCAAACTCCAGCACGATTTTAATACTATAATTACTCCTTTGATAACTTAAATTGATTTCTAGATTAACGTGATAACGTTCTCACTCGCACACTTTTTTACGTAAAAATAGTCTCATATTAGACCAAATTGATCATAACACTGTTATTTCCAATAAATCTTTATGGATATGACACTTGTTTAATACATCAACCCAATATACTTGCTAATAAATTCCTAACCTTACAGTAGTCACGCAAACACTTATTTGTCTTTGCATTCCTAATATATTTATTTTATTATGAGTTTGGTGTATTTTTTCATGTTTTGATTCATTTAATTGTATCATTTTTTTATATTTTTTAATAAAATTTTTATTGATGACTATTATTGGGTTTTAGTGTAGCAACTTGATTTCAAAGTGATACCTGAAATTTATTTAAGATTAATCCAACTTTTGCTAAAAAAAAAGGTTAATTAAACTTTTTTGTTATAAAAAATAATCTTATTCAAGTAAACTATTCTAAGTGACATCACTCACTTTTTGATAGATATTTTGAAGGAAGATTTTTTACAAAGATTCAACAATGAGACCTCACTCAAACTCTTATAAGAAAATGATATAATTTCTAATTAAAAAAATTAAAACAATATATCTATAAGTCTCCTATATTATAAAGTATTCAATTTTCTTAATTGATATGAAATTTATACTCACACTTTAATTGTTAATAATTTTTAAAATATGACTGTGGAATAGCCTAAAAAAAATTGAAAAAAGGAAAAACATAAATATGTGAAAGAATGGAAGATCGATACAGGTTTAGATGTGTGGTGTATAAAGAAAAAAGAGGAGAAAGAGAAATATGAATATGTAAAGTAATGAGTATAAATGAATGTTAATTATATAATTAACTATGTTGTTTAAACCATCATTATCTTTTATCATTTTACAAAGTGATTGTTAATCAGTTCATAATTAATTAATCATGAGTGTGCATGTAATTTTTGTTGATTTTTACTATAATAACAATATTAATATTAATAAATATTTTTTCTTATTTTTTAAATAATTACCTTTTCTTTCTCATTTTTTATTTCTTTCTAACTATTGAGAGAAAGTATTCAATATAAATATATACCCAAAACTAACACTCTATATATTTGATTAAGTTGAAAATTCTAAGAAATTTATAATATATAGTTTAATAAATATAATTTTATTATATAATATCAATGTAACTTCAATTTATTTTATTAGAAATTACTATTTGTCTTTGTTTGGATGATATAAGGGAGTAAAAACGAAAAGAAAAAGAAAGAAAATATAATAGGTGACTTTGTTTGAATGGGATGAAAATAAGTAAAAAGAAGATAATTCTACTTCTTATTAATAATTTTATTTATTATTTATTTTTATAATAAAAGAATTAATAAAATACTTAAATATAATAGATTATGTTGCATGTTCATATATTTGTATTGATTTTTCACGTAAATATTTTATGTTATTAATTAGTCTTCAAGAACAATACTAATATAGATATTAAAATAAAAATTGTTTGTCACTAAACTATATTTGAGAAAAAAAACTTAAACTCATTATTAAAATATTAAAGTGTTGTATAATTAATTTAATTTAATTTTATCATTTTTGTTATAAAATGAAAATGATCATAAACATATTTATGGATAACATAAGTTACATGACACATTCAATATTTTTTTATAAAGTGTATTTTTCTAATCCAACTATTGGATTATTAGAAGTTCCAATCATTTATATTATATTTATAGAAAACTTTTATGGTTCTAAAATTATTTTTTATATTCACCAAAATGGATTAAATATATAAACATAAAATATTTTATCTTTCTAAATATAAATATATATTGAATGTTGAGAAAAAACCCACCATGATCATTAAAAGTTGACCTAAAGAAGATTAATTTAGAGGTTTAAACAGTAAATGATTTTATCTAAAAAGTTGCTGAATTTATCAATAAGAAGAAGTGTATATGAAATGAGATTTTAGTGATACGATATTAGACAATAAAACCTTTCTTATAAAAATAATATGTTAATTAATTACTTGTATCAACCCTAATCAACCAAAAAGCCTTTTATTATTTGATTATTTGGCACTTTTGTTTCCGAGTTTCCCTTTTCGGGAATTACGTTATACCAAATCACTCGTCAAGCATAAATTTTGTATCCTAGCATTGAATGCTCAATTACATGCCACTCCTTCTATCTTTTTCTCTCACTCTCTTTCTCTCTCCCACCAATATCAATAGATCAGCAATGCCGCTACTCACTCTCAGATAAAACTGCAAATTCTTGTGTGTGAGAGAATCATGAACGAAGAAGAGACCAAGGGTTCTGCTTTTTTGGGCACCAACACCGCTTATTCAGGTCACTTATCTCTCTCTTGCTGTTTCACTATCTGGGGTTTTACGTTTTTTTATCATGTAAAATAAAAAATAAAAAACCATGAACTTTCACGTTTTTTACTTTCTTTTCTGTTGTATCTACCTTAAATAAATCGTGGGTGTTCTTCAGTTCACAATGTAGGTTATGAAAGTTTCAGTTTTCGTCATTTGCATTATTGCTTTGATGGTTTGTGTAGTTGGGTGCTTTTACATACCTGTTTTCATCACACAACTGTTGGAAAAATGGGAAATTTGTAAAGGCAAATGGTTTTTCTTTGAGGCCATACATGACCAGTTATATAAAAATTAAATTTTTTTCCACTTTCCTCGGTTTTTTTAAATGTTTTCCCTCATAAGCGGTTCTGGGTTATGTAGTTACGAAGAAATTAAGGTTTAACATATTTGGATAAATCCCTGAAATCCCGTAGGTGGTTGTGCAAGTGTATCATCCAGATTTTTCTCTCTAGGTTGAGACATCTCTATTCAGTATCTACATATGCATGTCCCAGGTTGTGCCTCTAGTGAATCTCTCTGATGCATGGATTAGGATTATCAATTTCTCCAGTGAATCGTGTGGTTGCTAGCTTCAAGTTTAAGTGATACTAGACGATTTTGGAACTCTGTAATTTTGATCGATAAAATGTTAATGCAGTTGATATAGGGTTGTCTTGAGTTGTTTCAATCTTTTATTTTCAACAAGCCTTTTTTTTTTAGAAAAAGTAGACCATAGAAATATGGTTAATTAATTTCTGACTGTTATTCTCTTGTTCCCTTTCCGTGAGGATTAGACTCTTGTGGCACCTCCTTCACTTCTAAAGGCTAAATGTTGTTCGTTTTTATGCCTGCCACCTGTGATGGCACCCCCTTCATCACATTCAAATTAGGAATGGGAAATGGAAGTGTGTTTAGCTGCATGACTGTTAAGTTCATAATAATATTAATAATAATAATGTATTTGGAATTGAAGTGTACGAACTGTATTAGAGGTTAATGCAAATGAGAACTCAGTTTTTTAATAATCAGAATGCATAGTGATAATGGCTCAACTACTGGCAGGTTGTTATTGTTGCATTATTTTGAATTAATGTTTGGTTTGGAAAACTATATGTTAAACACAGTATATAAGGGTTTATTTCTTTTCTGGATTGCACCTTCTGCATGTGTTATTTTAGTCTTTTCTTTTTGTAAACGTATTATATATTTTTGGCAGGTGATAAATAGTGTTTAATTCTCAAGAGGACAGTCATGCATATTGTAAATTTGTTAACTATATTTCCATATAAGTCGTGTTGAACTTCATTTATCAGCACTTTAGACACGTAATGAAGTTCAAGCTAACAATGTTGTGTTTCTCTACAGGTTTTCTTCTTGACCCTGCAAAATGGGGTGTGCTGAGTTTGCCGGAAAAGCAAAGACTAGTCCATGAGATTGCACGACAGTCAAAAGATGCCTCTACTATGCTTCAGACATTTACACGCAGGGAACTTCTAGAAATAATCTGTGCTGAATTAGGCAAAGAGAGGAAGTATACAGGCTATACCAAGAGTCAAATGATAGAACATCTTTTGAAGATAATTTCTAAGAACTCGAACTTGCACGTAACCGGAAATATGCCAGCTCCTACCAGAAGTTGCATTGGATCTAAAAGGAAAAAGAAACCTGCATCTGAGGATTTACACCATGCTCCTCTAGAGAACATTAAAGAGGAAGTAGTGAAAACCTTTTTGTGTCAAAATGTCGCATGCAAAGCTACATTGAATCCAGACGACTCTTTTTGCAAGAGATGTTCTTGTTGCATATGTCATTGCTATGATGATAACAAGGATCCAAGTTTGTGGTTGACTTGCAGCTCTGATCTTCCCAATGAGGAGTCATGTGGAATGTCCTGTCATTTGCAATGTGCTTTGAGTAGTCAAATGTCTGGCAATTTGAAGGGTAGTTGTGGTATTAAGTTAGATGGAGCCTTCTGTTGTGTTTCTTGTGGAAAAAGTAATGAACTGATGAAGTAAGTTGGTTATATACTTTTTCTTTATCAGCATGCAAAAGTAAAATATGCATAGATAATTACATACATACATTCATTCGTAATTTTATAAACCCTATTAATAAATTGTCACCTGTTCACATGTTAATGGGAGAACTTATTAACAAAAGAGGTGTTATTACAAAGAGTCATATTAGTGGTCTGTTGCAGTGTAAGGTGGCTCATATAAGCTACAGTTTTTATTTTATTTTGTTTTTTGGAATGGATGTTTGGATTTTACAGGACATGGAGAAAGCAATTATTGGTTGCCAAAGAAGCAAGAAGAATGGATATACTGTCTTTGCGAATATCCCTGGCTCACAGAATTCTTGTAGGAACAGAAATGTACAAGGAACTGCAAAAGATTGTAGAAACTGCTCTCAAATTACTGGAGAATGAAGTGGGATCACTCGATCATGTATATGCGAGGATGACTCGTGGAATTGTAAGCCGGCTTTCATGTGGTGCTGAGGTTCAGAGATTGTGCTCAGCTGCAATTGAATGTTTTGATTCAAAGTTTTCTGACCTTTTCTCTGTTTCTGTGGAAAAGAAAGATGCACCAAGTAAGCTTTTTATTATTTTTTCAATGGTCATTTTATTGAACAAATGGCAGGCAGAACCAGAACTTATCTTGATTTTCATGATAAAATACAGTAGTCTTGAAATTTTGGATCCAGAATAATTCCAAGTATGACTATTCTCAATATGGAGGAATAAAGGAAAGAACTAAATAATTTTACTTTTTCAGTTTTTCTTCAATATGGAGAAGACTTAAATGGTTTAGACATTGGCAATGGCAAGTCTCATTCCATGATAGACAATGATTGAGAATATGAAATTGCATTTCTTCTAAATGATTATATGATATAACAACATGAGAGATCAAATAAAGTAAATCAATTGAACCATTAAACAGTGTTGTTTTTGCATCAGTAAATTTTGCTTTAATTACCAGTACTGATATGACTTTTCTGGTGACTTTATTCGGCAGCATGTTCAATTCGTTTTGAAGAGTGTCTTCCTACTTCAGTGGTTATCGTGCTGGAGTACAATGACAAACTTTTAAAGAACTTTCTAGGCTGCAGGCTTTGGCACAGAGTATCAACTACAGACTACCCTGAACAACCCACCTTCATCGTCTTGAGGCCGGAGAAAAGATTCAAGTTAGAAAACCTGCACCCTTCAACTGAGTACTTTTGCAAGGCTTCTCTGTTCAGCAGCACAGGGATTTTGGGTGCTGCAGAGGCTAAATGGGTGACCCAGTGTGAGCCCACCAATTCTGCAAAAGGAATAAGTTGTGGGGGAAATCGTTTTAGAGTGGAAATGTGTGGTCAGGATCATATAACTGCCGAAACTCATCATCCCACAGAGTCTGCCAACTCCGACATGAAGTTATCATCTCGACAACAACCTGGGAAACCCATGAGTTTGAACATCAGAGGAAGGTTTGAAGAGTTCCTGTCGAAGCCTCAGTGTTTAGAGCCTTTTGCATATAAAAATTTTGCTGCTGCAGTTTCACCTTCGACACCTTGTAAATCCTACGAGATGAGGCAAATTCCTGGTTTGAATGGTAGAAAGCGGTCGAAGGAAAATGACTACGAGTATTCGGTGAGGGTGGTGAAATGGTTGGAGCATCTAGGGCACATAGATGAAATCTTCAGAGTGAGATTTCTGACTTGGTTCAGCCTTAAGGCTACTCAACAGGAGAGAAGGGTGGTTAGTGCTTTTGTTGATGCATTGATCGACGACCCAGCAAGCTTAGCAGACCAGCTCATACACACTTTCAGCGATGAAATATGTTGCGAGCAAAAACCCTTGTGAGGATGGATGCCTTCTACAACACTAAATACTTGTTTTTCTGACTCCACCCATAGAAACTTTGTAACACTTTGTGGGAGTTACAGGGACAGTCCATGGATATCACGTTTTTTCAACTCTTCATTTCTTCTTCCTTCAGGAAGTAGTTTATGCTCTTTTATACCATTTACTTTCCATTATGTACTTACTGGTCAGTGGAGTGATTGTTGGATTATATCACATATCCCCACTTATGCGCTCTACCTTAGATTTCTCCTCACACTTTATTACTTATCTAACAATATGAAATCACTTAGGCTATGTTTTTTAAATTTAATTCACATTCTACGCAACGTTGGATTGGAGTTCGGTTGGAAGCAACTTCAGAAGATAGTCAAAAGTCAACTTCAGTATAATTTTAAATGATTGTAACACAATTTATGCTAAATATAAAAATTCTGGAAAAACAAAATTCATAATCAAAGTAATTCGTATGTACTGTCAGGGTTTACCCACACAATCCCTATTAATCTAAGCGAAAAAGACTTGATAATGCAATGAAAAAAAAAAGAAGGGAAAATTATAGTGAGGGAACATAAAGATAAACAAAAATGTGTTTACTTATCATTAAAAGTTCATTTACGATGATATGAGTTTGCGACTAGAGTGTTTCCATTTTTGTTTGGTATTCTTCGAATTTGTTCACTCACAGATAAGTCATTAGAATATGATTTGCTTTTCTTTTGTTCCGGTTGTGAAGGGTGGTAAAAGTTGTATTTTCATAAAAGATAACGAAAGAAGCATTGTTTTTTAACCTATCTAAATTCTACTTTAGCTCTTATTTTTTCATTTTAATTATTTTAAATTTTACAAACACTCTTATAAATGATATCTATCCTAACAACTTTTTAAAATAGTCATATTCCCAATAATGATATCATAATAAATGAAATTTACAAGTGTGTATTCCAGCTTGCCCAAATGACAATACTTTGTAGTAGTAATACAAACAAGATTAAAAGCGGTAAAAAATGTGAAAGACAAAAATGTGATGTTAGTGGGTGTAAGTCTAATTAGAAAAACACTTTCATATTAGCAGTCCATTAAATGCTCACTGCATCACAGTATAGGCATGCACATGTCACTTGAGATAAAGCATTTGATCGTAATTTCAGCAGGTACCAGCGATCCACATGTGATTATAATTTTGCAGTTTATACTTTCTAGACAAATTAATGGACTTTTTATCTGGACCGGTACAACTTTAGATAGTACACAATTAATTGGATGCCAACATATCAAACCGTGCGAAGTACCGAACACATCCCAAAAATTTTCTCGTGTTTTAGTACAAATAGTACCTCCTTGGCATTAATCTATGAAGTGACTTGAAATTTATTTGGTTTTTTCACTGGCTGGAAATTCATTCCTCTCTGTAACGTCATGATGGGCCCTTCATGTAATGAGCAGCTGTCATCATACATTTTCTGTATCGTTGGCAGCTTCATTGAATGCAGTAGCCAAGTACTCAGCAAGGCTTGGTTCAGAACGGAACTTGACAGATGCAGCAGATGATCCCTCTCCTATTGTACTCTTTGATTTTGAAATCCAGGGTTTTACTTTCTCAGGTATTCGTGAAGAATGTAAAGAACCATTAATTGCTTCCCATATCTTAGGCTCTAAATGGTTCCATGGATCTTCAACCATGGAGCTCTTGTAAAATCGATTGGGACCAGGACCTGGGTTTTCGTTGGACAAATGACCATGAAAATTAGGTCCTCGTCCACTACCCCGTCCTGAAACAGAGCTACCAGGGTTGTGCCATACACCCCTGCCTCGCCCTTGACCAGGCCTAGGATTGCTCCTGTATCCCGGAGAAGGATTGGGACTGTAACTGGGCCTAGGACTGTTGCTGTATCCTGGAGAAGGATTGGGACTGTAACTGGGCCCAGGACTATTCCTGTATCCTGGAGAAGGATTAGGACTGTAACTGGCCCGGTGAGCTATGCCCTGTGTAGAGTTATATAATGGACCACCTGATGGTTCGAATCTAGGATTTGGATGTCTACCAACACTTGATGGATGGAATAGGAAGTTATCGTGAGCAGGGCCTCTAGGTCCACTAAAATCCAGGTTTCCATATGCTGGTGCTGATACTTGAAAAGGAGGCAGAGTCATCCGTGGATTTGTTGATTCTGTTATATCCAATCAATGAATAACAATTGTCATTGAGGAATAGATAAGGTAAATCTAGATAGTAGAGCACACGAGAAATTTGAGGTAGTTAATACTAGAAAACATATAGAACTGACTCAAAAAGCAATGCTGCATACTTTTATTCAACAATTATTAATTTATTATATAAAAACAGACCAGGGAAACTTCTCATAGATTACAGAGTAGCATGAAGTTTTAGTCCTTGAAAGATTGGGACTGCGTCATCTGAATCACCCAAAAGTATTTAAATTAACATATAAATCTGTACCTTTAAAAGATCCAAATTGGACTCAACCAAATCCTTTATGCTAAATTGTTATGATTTAAACAATCTTTTGGAGGAGTAGATTTCCTTCTTGATTGAGTCAATTTTCAAAACGGTGTAGATTGTTGTCAATCGATGGAAATAATGTGCTGAAAACTTATTCAATGTAAAAACTCGACATTTGAAGGGTAAAAATATCAGCCTACTTGCTAAATAGGTGTCAAAGGGGAAGGGGTGTTGCCGGAATGTAAAGTCCTCATTCCATTATGGATGGACGTAGTATAATATTCACCATAAATCAGGCTTATTATCTTATTGCTACATGAATCTACAAGACTCTGACTGCATAGCTACTTATACAAATCAAATTAAAGGATACCAACGTCAGGTAAACAGTAATTGGTGAACATATCAGTACCTGGATGTGGGGATGAATATTGTGCCATAGGAGAGGGACCAACATTTGGAGGGAAACTATCCGGTGCAGCCTGGATACTGGTATTGTTCCTTTTGTTAGAAGAGAAGGCACTCATCGGATCTGTATAAAAGTCAAACCTTGGAGCAGCATTCGATTTATCCCATGATGGCATAGTTAAAGGAGCTTCAATCAAGGGATTTGAGAGAGAACCGGGCATAGCAGAACCTTCCACAGCACCAGAAACATCAGCATGATCAGCTTGCATGCGCATTTCTCTCAGCCTTTTCTTCCTCTGCTCTGAATCCTCCATGTAACCTGAGAATCCAAAAGGTAGTTACAGGCATAATATAAATAAGCAATAATAGCCACCATAAAATTTGTCACAAACACATCAACTACTGCTCATAAACAGCAAAAACAATAAGCAAAACAAACAACTTCTCATAAACTTATGAAAAGCTGTTAATTTTGAAGGTAATTAAGTAACTTTCAAGTCCCAGATTTTTATTCAAAGCACCCTTTACCTATTTCAGAAAATGCATAAGACAGCATGGTCAAAATTTGAACCTTTTCACTCAAAACACTGGATAGTAAATCATAACATAGTTTAACAAACACATGCAAGGACTACAAATATTTACTAGTTCACTTTTAGTATAAAAGAGACAACTTTATGCCTTTCAAAACATTAATAGATAACATCCTGTACAAATTACAATTAGGACAACCAAGTTAACAATCAATTGATTAAAATTACAATTGAAACTTCAATTCAAGCTCAGTAGAACTAATAAATCACCTTGCTGGAACCTATGTTACTGGGTCGTGCTGACTATGAGAAGAAGAGTCTTAATATAAGGTAATATCGAAGAGAGGAAGAGAAAAGTAACAAGACCTGCAACCTCAAACTGAATTTTATAGCAAGTAACTCCATATATCCCATTGTAACCATTTAACTCCAAATAGCAGGTGATTTTATTGTTATTAGAAAAGTGATCCAACAGATCTAATACACTGACGAATATAGGAAGACAGGGAGGGTGCAAGAGCAAACACACGAGACATTTGAAGAGATCTATAGGCATCCTTGCAGTCAAACACAACCCTTACTCTATCACATTTCTCAATTTTGTATAGTTCTATAACCTTTTAAGTCTGTCTCTACCCACTCTCCAGCTTCAAATAATCTCATCTAATAATCAACACGACAAAGTAATAATGTCATTCTTCTCCAATAACATCAATTTATTCATTAACAATATTGATTCACACTCACCACTCAAATATTGTGTAGTCTATAATAAAGAATTTGTTACTCGTCTCATGACTCTCCTATACCAACTGAAGGCATCAATTTATCAATTTCCCATGTATCTCCCGCATCAACAACTTAGAATTAGCAGCAATGTGTTTGCTTTTATAAACAATATCTCTACATAATTCATGCCTAGGAGCTGGCCTCACTGTTCTTAATTGAAAAAGGGGACTTCTTAATACATTACTACTATACAACTCTCTCGCTGGATGGACATGCTTCCACCAGAAATCATACAGTGCTATTTCCATTACATCCCAATACTCAGCATCACGATGTAACCTGAATAGACTACTACCATTAGGAGTCCAAACATAAAAATCCATCCAATCCCTTCCTAGAATCTCCATTAAACCCTGAGCTTGAGGAATATAGTGAATTGGAATTCGAGACCAAGGGAAAGCTTTACTTAAGTCCCCATTGAAATATGGACACTTTATCTCCAGTACTCCACGAGAAGGCAATTCATGCACTAGACTGTCGATTACACCATCTGGTGAAGCAGCAAGCCAGCTGTCTTGTGGGTGTGAATCATATACCTGAAATTCAGGAAACAACACTGTATTTCCAGTTATCAGTTTGTATCTTTCAAGTGCTTCCTCCTCTTTGATATTGCTCCAACAGGTGGCAAGGTTTCCAGAGAAAGGTTCAATAGCACCAATCTTCTCTAACCACAGCTGGACCCTTTGCCGACGCCAAAACCCAATAGCAGCAGCAAAAGTGCTAGCTGTCAATTTGTTTCTCCTAAGTGCTTGCCAGTTTTTAAACCAATGTTGAAGGCAGCTAGCTTGAAGGACTGAATAAGTTTCAACAGAACTGTATTTTAACATATCACCAAGTGCGTGCAATTTTCTAGAAGGTTTTTTGAAGCAAGGCTTAGTTTCTCTAAAAACCAGCACAGAAGCATTACTACTAAAGTTTCTCTTATTACTTAGACATGCAACAAGTGCATCCACATAACAGCAACTTTGGTGCCTGAAACATTGCAGCCAAACATGAGAGAATGCAGGAGCAATTTCACCATCGTTAAAAAAGAGATAACTGTCACTTGAACTTTAGATGTAAGCTAGGCAACAACTGAATGGGTAAATGGTATTTAAGAGAACAACAGTGCATCATGGCAATGGCATGTTTTCTACAAACATTGAACATGTATATGGTTTCATTCCCAGTTAGCAAAGAGCCATTAGTAGAAAGCTCATCCATTGAAATTCTTAAAATCAAACAGCTTTCCACATTAAAGTTCATAGGAATTTATGTGATAATTTATGGCATTTAATTAAAAACATAATGGCACATGGATCCACAAACCCACAGAAACAGAAAAGACCTAAACCATGGGGAACATTGAAGAGGTGTTGATGTGAGAAAGAAGGAGGTGCAAGATAGGTTTTACCAAAAGTGATTAAGTTGACCGTGGATATGGTGTCTTCATGAATTATGACGGTGATAGACACAGAGAAAGAGAGAACTGGGGAAACGCCCTAGTGTTGTACAACAGTCAGATAGATGAAGTACACATTAATTATTGGTTCTACTGTTGAGTGTTTATTTTTTTTAATATTTTGAGGCGAGAATAAATTTATTTGATTTCAAAACTAAATGGACTTCATTCTCACCTAAAGAAAAATTGAACCCAAAATTCATCTTCACAAAGCTAACACAGAACAAAATGGGAGTCTCTGAAAAAACCAAATTCCAATAAAACATTATAGTCTGTTTGAGAAATCTGGCCCAATAGAAACAACGTAAGCCGAATAGGTTTTCAAAAAGGCCCTTAACTGAAGTTCAGGCCGGTAACAATTAGCGTGTTTGAACAAAATACGAGAACCGATTCTACCTTATGATAGTGAAACCATGAAAAGGTAGAATGAATTATTTGTTGCTTCACCTTGGCCTTGGAAAATTGATTGACTTTTTCTACCGATAATCCATTCCAAAACAAGACAAAATCCAGTGCAACCCAGTTTAGTAAATAATATCCCCAACTAACTTCAATTAACTCAGCGGCTATCATTGAACTCCATTCTCTTACAAAAAATCACTTCAAACGAAAAGGCTTGAAATTCTAAGATATTTTAAGTACGTGCAGAGGTAAATTTTCAGCGAGAGCGCTAAGAGTCAAATCGAACATCACATAATCAGCACAAGAACGATGGAAAAATTCCAAAGAGAACAAACATTAAGTAATTTTTCAATCCAAGTTTAAGTTCCCATCCCCTTTTTGGGCATTTTCCTTCCTAACCTAAAATCAGACATAATTCAGGAAAAACATAATTTCAAGACAAAGATTTTGACGTAACTATAAATCGCTCAAAGTAAAACTCACTGTGATTCGGTCTTCTATCCCCAAATCCTTTAGCTGAAAGCTTTCAAGCAAACCGATGATTGAGAGTTATGAAGTAAGCGGGAAAAGATTAATATTAGGTTATAGCAAAATAGAGAGTGTGAGAGAAAGAAACACGTACAATTACGGTAGTAACCCTATTATTCACTGACACGGTGGCGTCGAGGAACTTCAGGCACACGTTATCATTTTCCCTTAAAACTAGTATTTAGACACAACAAATGTTTATTTTATACGATTAAAAAATAGTATTTCGAAATATATAAATTATACTATTATTCTTTTATTAGACCAGTTGCTCAATAAATTAAATTTAAAATAGAATTAAACAGAATAGTTTTAAAAGAAAAAAATTAAATATGAAATATGAACTATGACTCAAAATGATAAAAACTTTTACAGTGAGAAAATGGATGATCAAGGAGAACTAATTAAGTTACTTCAACCCATACGTAAATTGTTGTAAATTTTATAATATTCCTTCAATTTCTACAACTAAAGAAATTAAGAAAGTCGATTATTTATATAAACTTTGGAGAAAAATAATTATTAATAAAACTATGTAATGAAAAGTTACTTAAGGGATTGAAAAAACAAAGGTCACTAAATTTTCAAAGTAAATGTCAAATTCTCTAACTTCTATTAAAAAATTGTCTTTGCGGCTTCATGTAGGTTAATTCGAAAGCTTCAACGCCAAATAAAATTGGGTTTGATTATATAACAAAGCTTTTTTTAATATTTTGGGTATTTTATGAATTAAGAAAAATCTCAAACACATTCAAGAATACAATAAAAGTTATATTTGTATACATTATCCGTTATTGATTTAGCTTATAGAATAAAAAACTAATAACAGATACTTATTTTTGTCATACATAACGTCACAAATATATCTAAAGAATGTTTATTGAATTTAAGTTTAACTTGTCGATGACAGTAAACATTTAGAGGGTGTTAGGACTTTGGTAACTAAAAGTGACATATTTGGCCATTTTTACTTGTGGTGCATCGAGAAGCATCTTTCTCTTTGAATATTTTTTTCCATTATAGTTAGTTTCACATCTCATCATTACAATGTGCATTCGTGACTGTTTCTGGGGAGCTCAATCATTATTTTGCATGTTCTCCTTGGTTTTGTAGAATGTGACTTTATGATTTTTGGTTAATATATTAATTTTAGATTTTTGGTTGCGCAGAATGTGAGTTATGTTTGATTAATATTAGATGTTTTATGTTTATATAATTTTAGATTTATTATATGTTTGATTAATTTATAATTTGATTAAATTATAAATTATTATTAGGTGTATTGTTAGTTTATATTAAGGTGCATTGTTAAGTTATATTGAGATCTATAATAACTTTAGATGTAAACATTAGGGAACCTTAGTTCCCATTTAAGATTTAGTCATTAAACTTTAATCATTTGTATTAAATTTTGAATTGTTTGATCGAACAGTTTAGAAGAATTATTTTTCATAATTTGTTAATATGTATACATTGTAAGTTTATGCATAAATTTGAAAACAAATTGGTTTAGACCATTTTGTGTTGTTTTCTCGATGCATACTTGACTGTGGTCATGAGTAACCATTTTCATTTCGTGTATTTCGAAAATTAATGTGAAATGCTACCGAAATTTTATCAAATTAATGATGATAGACTTCTTCATGTAGATATTACCGAATTATGAAAAATATTTTTTTTGAATCAGTATGGTCTTGCATTGTGAGAATTAAAAATTTGAGAATGATGAAGTTTGTTACCAATGTAGCATGGATTGAAGTTGGATGAATCCACCTCATAGTGAAGAGTATGAAAAAAAAGTTTGAGTTCTTGCAATATGCTCAAGAACACGTCATTTTTGTGAACGAGACATATTATTATCCTTGTGTTTTTTGTCTAAATCAAATATGTTAGGATTTTGGTGAAATGCGTGATCACCTTCTCATCTTTAGTATGTAAGGAGATATACAAATTGGACTTGACATAGAGAAGTATTAGACAACCTTACAACGTCATGAACATCACAATATGTAGAAGAATGAATGAATGATCATTTAGAGGACATGGTACTTAATTTTAATGAAGAAAATTTTGGAATAGCTCATTTATATGATACATTGAAGTCTGATTCAAAGAAACATCATGCATTAACTTTATATGATTGTCAACAATTTTAAAATTGTTCAGTTTAAAAGCAAAAAATGGATGAACCGATAAAAGTTTCACAAAACTGTTAGATTACAAGAAAATTTTATGTCCAATGAATTTGGAGTACAAGAAAATACATGCATACTTTAATGATTGTGTATTGTACATAAACGAGTTTGTTGCATTGAAGAGGTGCCCAACATATAGGTTATCACATCTTAAAAAGAAAGTTACTAGAAATAATGTTGATGAAAAAAGTGGATGGTCCCCCGCTACGATGTTGTGGTACCTTCTCATAATGAAAACATAAGAAAAACACTAGAGGGGGGAGGGGGCTAAATAGTGTTTTCAAAATTCTTTCCCAAAGTAGTTTATAATGGTTTGTAGCAGATATATAGTTTAAATAAAATTATTAGATGTTGGTTTTTATGAAGAGCGTATATGGAAAACGTTTCAAAGATCAAAACAATAAAACACAAATTTTATACTAGTTTACTCAACCTGAGCTACGTCTAGTTCTCCATTAAGAACTCTTAAGGGGTTCCACTAATCTTCAAGAAGATCACACAAGTTTTACCTCTCCAAGTTTACAACAAGTATTCCACCACTACTGGTTCACCTAGTCCACACGACTAATTTGAGTTTCACTACTCTTGGTGTACAATATTCTAACCACTTCTGGTTCAACCCTAGACAACTTGTCTAGACTTTTTAACTCAATTGAGCTAAACACCAAGTGTTTTAATTCTCTTCAGAATCTATAACACAATCAATGTTATGGGCAAATACATATTGATAACTGTCAAAGAGAGGATAGAGACAATACAAATAAATATGAGATATTATTAAGGTTTTTTTTCTCTCTTAGAAAATTTAGTTTTAGACAATCTATGAGCACAATAAGCTTGTTTGAGCATTCACGAATTCACTATCTTATCCTTCTTCTTCTTTTCTTCAAACTTCTTCAAGCATCCGTCTATATGTAGCTGTTTTTGAGAGATGATCGTTAGACAAAGAAGTTAACTTCATGTAGAGCATGTAGCCTTTTTGTGAGAAGTCAGACTGAAGTCTACTTTGCAAAGGTACAGAGCTTAGTCATAACCTTTTAGAAAAATGTAGCTTGTACGATGTGTTAGAGCAAAAGTATTTACGGGAAACATTCCCAAAATATTATTCATATCTCTCAACGTTTTTTTCTTGGGTGTAGTGATTCTGATCAAGTCTTTATGCTTTTGTGATCTGCACAAATATCAAGAACAAGATATACAAGTATTAAAGCACTTTATCGTACATGCATTAAATATTTTGAACATTGATAAGCTTTAGGCCGCGTGTTCAAAACATTTTATCATTTGTCATTTCATTAATAAATGCATCGTTTGGTAAAACACTCAACATATATGATCATCAAATGGTGTAAAACATTAGATGCTTTATCAAAAAAATTGTTTGAACTATGCAACGTTTCGCAGTCTTTTGTTAGACGGTACATTTTATAAGACGCTTTATTTGAATTAAAATTGTTTTGAATAAAACATTTTTTAAGCTTTAGTGTTATCATGATATAGACATTTTTGTTCATAAAACACTAGCTTGTTAAGACACTGTTTGTTTAGACGTTTATATGTTGTTTGTAAAACATTGTTTGTTACCCATTTCATTTATAAGATGATTAATTAAGAAAGACGTTTCCTTTTATTAGACATTGTTCATAACACTTTGTTCATCAAACAGTATAGTTTAGAAAATGTTATTATGAACTTGTTTTTGTCTATAAAAGATGTTTTAAAATATTTTTCTCTTGTACGTTATTTCTTTAAAACAACATTTCATAAAGACAATATTTCATTTAATGTTTTTGTTAAACATCAAAACCTAAGTTGCTTAAACGATCTAGTCTCTAGACGATCTTGTCTTAGCACATAATACCTAAGTTCAAATGATTGTTTGTCATTAAGGAATATGTAAAGGACTTGACATGCAAATGAAAGAAAATGTGACAACATGATAAAAGGTGCAAGACCCCTGCTATTGATGAAGATGACGACATGACGGAAATAGAGGATGATCGTCTCTCAAACCTTGTCAACATATTGTCGAAGTTAAATAGAAAACCAATAAAGATACAATAAAATACTATCGAATATTTGGAATCAAATGTTATGTCCCATTTTATATTGCCCTTTTTGATACATTAGAGGTGGTTGGTGGAGACTATATTTTAAACATTTCTATCATCCAACTATGCATGTAAGTAGTAATGCGTCTTCTATATTTACTATATTAAAATTATTGAACTTAGAGTATCATTCATTGTCTTAGGTATATGGGCACAATGAGTGTGGAGCTAAGTCGGTCAATGGAGTATGGATTTTTTTTAGCCCCAAAGCGTTCAAGGATCTTATAACCCAGGCTCAAGCTACATAGTATATGATATCATGGATTACCACCTCATTAAGACATGTTTACTTCACTCCATACATTAAAGCGTTAGTCATACTTATTGAGTTTTTTTTTTTTTAAGTTAATGTAATTATTCAACTAACAATTTCTCATTCATTGTAGGTTTCATTAACAATTAGTCCTTATTCATGAAGAGTCCTTAATTGTCTAGTTTTGTTCTATTCATAGAAACGAAATAAAGGCCTTTATACATGAGTAATGTTATAACTTTCATAACATCCAATTAGTATATAACAATTATGACTAACATGTCTTCAATTCAATGTGTGTTATGTTATGACAAACTAATTATTAAATAGGAAGAAACAAGGATAAATTCAATTTATATATCTTAATATTAGATATCACTCTTTAAATTAATTATTTTGTGTAAAATTTGTATGATATTAATTTTTCCTTATGTTATTTTAGTGTAATAAAGAGAGTACACTAGTGCAAAAAAGACCTTTAATGTAACCCTTTAGACGTCTAACCCTCGAATA